CCTTCACTGTTGTTCGTTAAAGATTGATGAGCGAGTCTACATTATTATTATTATTATTATTTATATAGAACCAACAAAATTCACAGCACTATACAATGGGTGGACTAACAAACATGCAATTGTAATCAGCTGAGTTAGACGCACAGGAATAGAGGGGTTGAGGACCCTGCTCAATTGTATGACTGTATCCTTGAAATGTATCCACAGAGAGTGTATTGAAGTCCAAACTATGGAGAAGCATGATGTGAAGAAAACAGACTTGCCTCATCATGATCCATCTACCACCATCTTGCCATAAACAGTCAATGTACAGGAAAGTTATTCTACCTTGGTAGAGATAACAGTATTTAATTTTATAATGTCCATAATTTTACCTGCAGAACCCAAGTCCCCCTTCCCTATGCATAACAGTAACAAGTCCCTTGACATTTGTTTTAGGATGGTACAGAAAAGTGGGGTCTGTAGAACTTCATGTAATTGTGTAAGTCATTCAATGGATTTTGGTTGTGCTCTTTTTTTGCACTTTCTGTTGAACTTTTTTGTCTCACGTGTTTGGAACACTTATTTTAGATGATGCCAAAATAACTAAGAGGAGCTGATACATTTTAAGATTTACGACATTGTTGCAGATCAAAACGTATATGAGTCAATGTGATACAAGGATAAAAATTGCAAAGTGAAAACTGGATACATTATTTCAAGGAATTGTACTATTGCAATATTTGTAACAACTCCTTAGGTTGAGTAAAAGTATTCAACAGAACCAAAATGCTGAGAATATAAAAATGTTAATGGACAAATACAAAGAGAATTCCAGGATGTTCTGAGTCCTGCAACTAAGAAACCCATCTGGTGAAACAATATCACTAGAGCTGTTAAAGAAAGTCCAGGGTCTGATCAAAGTTTGGCAAGCAGTTAATCAGTCTGTCATACTGGCTTACAGAGAAGGAGCAAAAGTAATACATGGTCAGTAGAACAAGGCAGGTTCTTAACTTATAGGTTAACAGAGTTCTGCAATGTCTATGTCAAATGTGCTGCGTTGCAACTAGCCCCCAGCACAAAATTAACAATAACATTTGATGTGCATTGTTGGATGGTATTGGATATACAAATTGCCTAGTGATAGCACTGTGTCCACCTACACACTGTTCCATTGTTAGCCTCAGTCTTTCCGAGATAAATTGACCATGGTCTATAATACTTCTCTGTGAAGCATTTTTGGGAAAGTATGGAGGGTGGATGTCACTGTAGTCGGATAAAGCTGAGGGAGAACTTAGATTGAAGGTCAGTTATTAAATATTTTTTATGGAAAAAAGAAACAAGGGATGGACAGTAACGGCAAAGGTTACTCAAACCGAAAACCTGTGTTTTTTTAATGTTATAAAGTAGTGGAGACCAAGAGAAAATCTTATTGGATATGGTAAGCCATTTCCTAGAAATAGTGTTGTTCCCAAAGAGTCTTCTATATTGGAATTAGCAAAGTGAATGCGGTCACAGTTCTTAAGCAGAGCTGAGAAGTTCTTGTAAATTATAGACGAAATTTAATGGGTGGGCGGGTTGTATTAGCTTCAGATCGAACTAGGATGTCCAATCCTTCATAAATAAAATAACCCCCCACCTCCCGAAATACACTACAAGAGGATGAAAATATAAATTGTGTGCATCCAGCAGTGATTCAAAATACAGAATGAGCTCTTAGAAACGTAAAGTATAAATTTTTATTAATATTTATAAAGTGCCAACAAATTCTGCAACACTGTACAAAGGGTGGAGTAACATACAAGTAATTGTAACGAGACGAGTTGGATGCACAGGAAGAGATAGGATTGCGGGCCCTGCTCAAACAAGCTTACATTTTAGAGAGTGCATAGATTACTGGCAACCCCCATGTAATCATTGAAAGAGTTAAAAACCTCTGCTAAATTCACCATTATGACAACGATGGGAGAGTCAAATCTCTGCAGTTCCAATACACTCCTTCTTGTCTATCAGGTGCTTTGGACACATGGCGCATGCAGAGCAGTCATTGCAATCCGCCAATAATACTTCTCATAGAAAGGGAGAAGCATTTACTTTCGCTTTTAAGTACGACACTCCTCACTTACCGACCGAGTTCCGTTCCTACTACCCGGTCGTAGAACGAATTGGTCAGTGAGGAGTTAAAGGATTCCCTGCTCTGCTGCGTTCTATGTTCAAGAATTGTCCCTGAACATAACAGAGCAGGGAATCCCTCTAATTTATGCTCTGGGAAAGTTCCCCGAACATAGATTAGAGGGATACCCTGCTCTATTGTGCATGTCTGTGTTCAGGGATATTTTCCCGAACATAGAAGAATGCAGCAGAGCAGGAAATCACTCTAATTCCCATGACTGCTCACACTTACCACCCCACGAGAGATCTGGTCGTAAGTGCGAGCCATCGTAAAACAGGTAGGTCGCAAAACGAGGACCACCTGTATAGTTCAAAGTGAGTGAGACAGGAAAGCTTCCCAGCTTTCTGTTTGACAGCCAGGAGGTGTTAATAAGGGGATTTATAGAAGTGCCGATTTTCTTGACTTAAAACAAGACATGCAGTTAACCCCTAAAGCACTTCAAGAAGGTAAAGTGTCCCTTTAAAGTGAAAAATTTAAGAAATAGCCATGTATCAAAATTAATGGTACATTAAGTACTACAGCAGGAAATACAGCAGGGTATTAGAAAATAAACAGTTTCAAATATGTTCAGATAAAAATGTTATACTAATCTTTCAAGATATAAAAGTTCTGTGTTGCCTTTTTATAGGTTGCAGAGTTAAAAGCCCTTTCTAAAGTCATGGACAAATGCCAAGGTAACAGAGGTCTTTGGCAGAAAGCATAACCGTAGACCACTTTTTATTGCCGCTTCAAAGAGGTCAAGCATTGGCAAGGTCTGTAGTATAAATATTAAATTACAGTAATAAAGTTATAGGGGGAGTATTTGCAAAAAGAAAAAAATACATTTACTTCTTTCTGAGGTTAAAAGTGGCTTAAGGACAGTGACATCTTTAGCAGCTTAAAGGTACAACAAGCATAATCCATGCGATACTGCATTAAAGTGCACTTTTTTAAAGTTTATTGCAGTATCCGATTTCCACTTACCTGCCATTTAAGGACATTTAGCATTTAAAACAAAAAAGTTACTAAATACAATTAAAAGCGAAGTATCTACCAACAGTTTTTCATAATATTTCAATTGCAGATCATTAACAATAAAATGTAATTTTTTAAAAAACATTTTTTTTACCTGCAGCTATATTTATCATAATACACAGGTGCTGTGATGACTACATCAGTGGGCATTGCCATCAGAATCCATCCTTCTTACTTCAACATAGTTCGCTCATCTCTATTAAATAGATCTTGGCTGTGGGCTAAGGCTGACTTGCCTTTTTGGCCACAGCCATACATGCCTGTTGAGTGTTGCTCCTTTTCCCCTATATCAAATCGCTATTGTCTGAATATGATTAGCATGTTTTTTTTTTCCCTATCAGACATCAGGTGTTTTAACAAGATTCAACATGTTTGAATAATACAGCCACCTAATGAGTTCTTAATCAGGTGAATTGGTCACTGCTAATGGTGTTAAAAGTCCTTGATTGGAGTAAGGAGTGAATCAACAAATGTTGTTGAAAAGTCCAGAACAAGTGTATAAATAACTATATGATGGGTGGAACAATTCTTTACATGCCATATCTCCAGTTTGTGTCAAAACATTCCTCTTGTGTTTGCTGGGGTGGACCCAATTGGTTGGATGTATGTTTTTTTTTAAAAAAAATTGGAAATCTCCTGCATTTAAAGCCTCTCTGCTCGCAGTGGCTAAGACAATGCAGAAGTCATCATTATTAACCGAACATTAAACTTCAATGAGGCTCTGGGAATTTATTCCATATTATTCATCCAACCTTAGACTTCAATGGTAAGTTAGTAAGTTCACGGTTAATGTACCCCTGGTGCTCACAACCAGACACTCAAGTCCAAGGTTGAGCTGTAGCAGTTATAGTGACCCTTTAACTGGTCAGTGTTTGTAATTCACCACATTTGCACATAAACTGTGCAGGTTTTGTGGATCTTAAACATAAAAGTACTAGGTAGATATATTAGCTACCAAAACCTACATCAGTCTCACAAAAGAGGCTTAATGGAACAATCTTAATACAAAAATGAAAAAAATTACAGGGACACTATAGTCACCAGAACAACTACAGCTTAATATAGTTGTTCAATTGTCTATACCATGCTCCTGCAGGCTTTTTTACATTACAATCTATGGACATCTCCAGGTGCCACTCCTCAGATGGCCAATAGAGGTGCTTCCTGGATCAGTGCAGCACTGACATTCAGTGTCTCCACCCTCTGCATGCAGACACCAAACTTTTTCTGCATACAGACACTGAACATTCCTCACAAAGATGCATTGATTCAATGTATCTCTATGAGGAGATACTGTTTGGCCTAAGCGGCATTTGACACCACCCCTGGAAAGCATTGTGATTGGCTGCAATCAAAACTTCTGATAATGTCAGCCAAGGAAGCAGATCAGGAGCAGAGCCAGCACCTGGAGACAGGTATAAAGGTATGATTTTACTATAATTAGTGGTGCTAAGTGAAGCAGAGGGGCTAGATAGTGTTCTAAACTCTATAGGGTCAGCAATACATGTTTGTGTTCCTGACCCTATAGTGTTCCTTTAAATTAAAAAAGCTTGATTCACACACATGTTTATAAGACATAAATAGCATCTCTCTCACAGCATGTAAACCCAGGGCCGGCGCGTCCATAAGGCGGCACAGGCGGCCGCCTTAGGGCGCACCGGCCCGGGGGCGCAAATGTCCGGGTGGCCGGCAGGAGGGAAGCGCACCGCTCCCCTCTCCTGCCGGTCACTTTTTGTAGCGTGGCCGAGCGCCAACCTGCAGCAGTGCCGCGGACTGTGTGGAGGGGGCGGGGATATGAACGTCATATCCCTGCTCCCTCTGTAGCACACAGCGCGGCTGGTGAACAGCAGGGGCGGAGCTACCACCGGTCCCCTTTTTGTCAGCATGGGAGGAAGTCCTCCCAAGAAGACAAGAGCAGCAGAAGGCAGAGAGGAGGGGGGCTGGGCAGGACCAGCTCCTCCAACTCCCAACTACCTCAGGCAGCACTTTGGATCCCAGGTAAGCCCCCCTTCTGAACCTGTTGGTCAGTGTGTCTGTGTGTATCTATGTCTGTCACTGTGTGTATCTATGTCTGTCAGTGTGTGTGTATATGTCTGTCAGTGTGTGTGTGTGTATCTATGTCTGTCAGTGTGTGTGTGTGTATGTCTGTCAGTGTGTGTGTGTGTGTATGTCTGTCAGTGTGTGTGTGTATGTATATGTCTCTGTCCGTGTGTCTGTGTGTATCTAAATGTCTGTTAGTGTGTGTGTCTGTCTGTTAGTGTGTCTTTGTGTGTCTTCTTCCCTATCATTGTGTATGTGTGTCTGTATGTCACTGTGTGTTTATCTGTATGTCTGTCAGTGTTTGTGTGTATCTGTGTGTCTATCTGAATGTGTATCAGTTTGTGTATATGTATATCTGCATGTGTCAGTGTGTGTATCTTTGTGTATGTGTATCACAGTGTGTGCGTGTGTGGCAGTGTATGTGTATATGTGCATATATCTCAGCATTCAAACACCAACACTACACACAAATAAACACCTGCATGCAAACATCAACACTACATACAAACACACCCCTGCATTCAAATGTCAACACTACATACAAACACACCTCTGTATCGGACACCAAAATTATATATAAACACACACCTGCGTTCAAAAACCAACACTACACATAAATGCATGCTTGCATTCAAATGCAAACACTACATACAAACACACCGCTACAATCATACAAACATACTCCATACAAACACATGCTTACAGTCAAACACACAAATACTGCTCCATGCTAAATACAATCCTGCAAGCATGGGGAATCGGTAGAGCCCCAGCTTTCAAAGCATTGTTGAAGTTGCACGACAGATGGGGATCTATCTTTTAGCCATCCTGTGTACATACACAGACCGTCATACAGAGACATACAGTATGTATGTCTCTGTATGACTGTGTAAATGTATTCAAAAGGAATAAACGCAGGCAACACTCCAATAGTAAGGATGGTATATTTATTGATAGGTGAACCACCCCAAAGAAAGTGCGTCGTTTCGGCTCAGCAGAGCCTTATTGCATGAGCTGAAACATCACACTTTCTATGGGGTGGTTCACCTACCAATAAATATACCATCCTTACTATTGGAGTGTTGCCTGCGTTTATTCCTTTTGAAGACTTTACTGGTGGATCCAGCAATGTCTGCCTGACATGGAGCATCCACCTCTGTTGATGGCCAGAGCATTTACACGGTATCAGTGTGCAGGGTTCTTTGTTTGTCTGTGTATGTATGTCTCTGTATGCCTATCTCTGTTTCTTTATGTCTGTGTATGTATTTCTGTGAGTGCCTGTGTCTGTATGAATGTATGTCGGTGTTTGTACGACAATGTACCTGTATGTGTAGATTGTATGACTGTGTTTGTTTGTGTGCCTTTTATGACTGTGTGTCTGTATATCTTTGTGACTGTGTGCCTGAAAAATTATGTCTGTGTGCTTGTATGGTTGTGTGTCTGTATGTTTGTGTATTTGTGCATGTATGTATTTTTGCCTGTATCTATGTCTATGTGGGAGAAAAAGAGAGATAGATAGGGGCTGGCGGGGAAGTAAGAAATACATAAGAGGGGTTGTAGGAGACACACTAAAGGGGGGTGTAAGGCACAAAGGGGCCAAAGGGGTAAGACATTCAAGAGAGTGGATATGCAACACTAATGGGGGTAAGAAATTCAAAAGGGGGCTACGAGACACAGAGGTGAAGATGCATTGTTTATTTTTTGGGGGGGGGAGGGGGCGTCAAAATGCATCTTCGCCTGTGTAGTCAAAAATCCTAGCACCGGCCCTGTGTAAACCCTTTAATGTGTATGAAATGTTAGAATGTCACACAGTACTCCTAAATGAATGTATGGGATATTTTTTGCTAATATCAGGCCATCGACCAGAGGACAGAACATATATAGAGTTTTACTATATCAAGACATTTCACCAGATTTTAGAATAGCCAGGGTTATCATAATTACCTCAAGTAAGGTGAAATTAAAGTAATTCCCAAAGGGAAGCACCTCGTCTTAAATGAGTCAAGCATCAGGGTACCAACCTAAATTAGCCAGGTTCAGATAGACCCACACCAAGTCAGCAAGTCACACAAGCTGGGTCAGAATCAACACAGAGAAACTAAAACAAATGCACAAAAAGATATTAGAAACAACAATAGAAATGGGCTAAAAACTCTATTTTGAGTTCGAAATTTAGCAGTCATAGTTTTGCACAAAAATACACTACTACGCATGCACGGTACCCAGCTGTGGAGTTTGGTGTCTGAGATCATGGTCACTCTTTTCTGATTATAAGAGCAGTAATTAAACTGCTGTTTCAGATAAGTTTTCAAATGTAACTAAATAGGAAAATAAAATGATTTCTGCCTTTAAAAAAAAATCTTTGTGGGGCGGGGCCGGACCGCCTTTTGGAATGGCCGCATGGAAGATCAGCTCCAGTTAACACTATAAAGGTCATAATTGGTGATCAATCTACCCCACCGATGCCTAAAAGCAGCGGTCCTACGTGCCCAGAGATGCTGGCACTGAAGCTGTGGCAATGCTGCACATTCTGGTCCATCTGAGTAGAAACTGGCATCTCGGAGGCTGATGCCTTTGCGGGGGGTGAGTGTGGTGGACGGGCGCCACTGTGCTATTCTGAAACCTCCGGAGCTACGTGGTGCAGGTCCCGTTCCCCCTCCCCCTTTGGACTGTGGGGGGGGGGGGTCCTGGTCCTCGCTTCAGGGACCCACTGCAATGCAGAGAAGCAGTTATTCATCGAAGCAGAGCGAAAACCCTTTCTAAGATGGCAGAACCCTCATGTCGCGCAGATAGCAGCAGGGACCAAGATGAACTTACCTGCAAAATCAAGCAACGCTTCGCGGACTTCGGATCAAATTGGATCAGTGTTTGCAACAGTCTGTCAAGCAAGAGACAACCAGAGACAATTCCCAACCATTTCGGAGGTTACCAACCAAGTCTCAGAGGGAAGTGTCTGTATACAGCCATGGCAATGGTTGGAACAGTCTGAAATGGCGTCAGCAGCGAAGCGCATGCCAGAAGCCCAACACTATCAAAGCTCTGCACAGTCATCACTATGGTGGGAGATAGCACCACTGAGGTTGTGTTGTTGAAGCAACACCGGAGAAATGGTGGATACAGGCAGCTGGAACATACGTAGACCGTCCTAAGTCTCTGGAGGGTGTTGGTTGAACCGCAACTGACCCATGCAGCTGAAGTTAAGCCTAACTCCATCAGATTACCTTTATTGAAGTCTACTTAACCTTATGCATTATAGTTTTAGATTCAAAAAAATCATGTCTCGTGCTCAAACTCCCATTACTCTTGGGCGGCAACAACAACCATAGTACACATCAGCCCCAGTACATATAGTAAAAACCAAAGAAAAAAGTTACCTGCGCTCTTTCCCAAATCCCTATGCATATTTACACAAATGGACGTTATTTAGTTACTCCAATGGCCATTAGAGGGGAATGCCCACCTGCCACGTCATGACAAAACTCTTGGGCAGCAGCAACAACCATAGTACACATCAGCCCCAATACATACAGTAAAAACCAAAGAAAAAAAGTTACCTGCGCTCTTATTTAGTTACTCCAGTGGCCATTAGCGGGACATGCCCACCTGCCACATCAAGGTCCTACACTAACTATTCACCTTGCTTCCTTGAGCTTCTGGCAAATGTATCTCTAATGAGGCAGAGAGGGGTATTCTTTATATACACCCCAAAATGCTTTTTGAACACAGTTACATCTAAAAAGGGTATGCTAGTCGAGTCACTAATAGCTGTCACTTTAACCGATAGAGGCCGTGAATTGATTTGTTCTTGAAGTTCTCCGATTGTACCCTTCCACACCAGAAAAATATCGTCCACAAACCTCAAGTAATGGATTATCTTCTCCCCATATGTGGTTAAGATATATCTGCTCTCAAACCAGTACATAAATCCATTGGCGTATGAGGGCACCATGGCCGCCCCATCACCGTTTCAGTTAATTGGAGAAAGAATTTACCCTAAAATCTGAAATATTTACACGTTAGTGCGATGTTCAACAATTCTACAAGGTATTCAATCGGTGGACCTGAGTATACTGTTGAGGATGTTAAAATTTCTCTGATGGCTTCTGTTCCTTGTGTGTAAGGTATTATCGTATATAGACTTTGTACATCCATAGTGACTAAAAAAGTCTCATCATTATTTAATGTTATTTTTTCAATCCGTTGTAAAAAGTCACGAGTATCTTTGAGACATGTAGGCAAATTTTGAATGCTATCTTTAATGTGAAAATACACAAATTTTGCAATGGGTTCCAAAAGTCCTTCATTTGCAGACACGATAGGTCGGCCTGGGGGATTCTCAGTGTTTTTGTGAATTTTGGAAAGTGTATACATTACTGGGTGCCTTGGATTTTATATCCAGGTATCCTAATGTTTGGCCTATATCCGATACTGCATGAATTTTCTTTTAAAATGTATTAACCTGATCAAATGTAAGACGTTGGTATGTAGTTTTGCCTTCTAATTGGTGTAAAATCTCCAGTCTATATTTTGTGTATGATTGTACCACAATGGCTCCCCCTTTATCAGTGGAAAAGTTCAGTCTTTTCTTCTTTTGTGAGATTTTGTTTGCATCTTGGTGGATTTTTTGTTATTAAATCGGCTTCCATTTGTATACCTTGCATAAATGATTTAATGGATGTATTGTTTGTGTGTATATCTCTTTTCTCATGTGTACACAGCATCTATGGAAATTTAAGTTTTTGAATACATAAAATTTGAAATGGAAGACCTGTGAGTGCAGTTTCCTTTTGTCATTTATTTATTATATTACTAACGTGAATTTGCACACAGGGGAAAATTATTTTTGTATACTGTTAAAGGTGGTGTGCTGAGCGTTTTGTGGATATATATACAATTCACGCTGGGTCCCAGTCTTGTTTATTGCCTGGGTGCCACTCCGACCTCAAAATATGAAATACCTTGTTGGAAGTGCACTCACAGGACTCGATACTATTGCCAAAAATGTGCCATTTATTCAAGCTTCAAAAGTTGATTACATAGTGTCGACGTTTCAGTCCACTAGAGACCAATTTGTGCAGAAATCCATATCATTCCAAAGGGTTCACCTACTTTTTCTTGCAACTTTATATATATATATATATATATATATATATATATAAAAAGACTTACATTTTATTTTGCTTTAAATTGGCACTCTCAGGACCAAAACAACTTTATCATGCCCTGGATTCTCAGTGCTTAGTTTTCTGCCATTTTAGAGTTAAATTAGAGATTATTCTAGCTTTAGTAACCGAATAATCAAATTTGTATTAATGACAGGAGGCAAATATTTGTTCTTTCTGCTTACCTTTCTTTACTGAAACCTCCCAGCAGCAAAGAAACAGTTAACAGTAGTGAGAAAAAAATATTAACCAATCAGAGTGTACAGTGATGGAATATAGTGTCATCAAGCTCTTCCCAATTCCACTTTCTTGCTGTAGCTGATTATGGTAGATATCAGCCGTGTAAACCGTAGAACCATGTAAACAGGAAACCAAACTGCAGATTCCTTGTTGTAGTCAACCATGTAAACTGAACGTCGGGTTGTCGACTCCCTTATGTAGTGACCACCTTAGGTCTTCACACTAGAAGGAAACAGAGAGAATTCCATTAGAGTATATGTTGTCTTACTAGAGGTACAACGTTATGAAACATATACGGTGAGTAGTCATTCTCAGTAGTGGACATCAAATATAAATGGTGATATGTTGTATGTTTATTCAGAAATACTAATTATAAACCTATGGCAGATGATGTGTAATGACACGTTGGAATGGAGAAGCGTTAACTTACGTAATAACCTTCCTCCAAGGGTGGGAGAAATAACAGGGAGGGAAAGTACAGGGAGTGCAGAATTATTAGGCAAATGAGTATTTTGACCACATCATCCTCTTTATGCATGTTGTCTTACTCCAAGCTGTATAGGCTCGAAAGCCTACTACCAATTAAGCATATTAGGTGATGTACATCTCTGTAATGAGAAGGGGTGTGGTCTAATGACATCAACACTCTATATCAGGTGTGCATAATTATTAGGCAACTTCCTTTCCTTTGGCAAAATGGGTCAAAAGAAGGACTTGACAGGCTCAGAAAAGTCAAAAATAGTGAGATATCTTGCAGAGGGATGCAGCACTCTTAAAATTGCAAAGCTTCTGAAGCGTGATCATCGAACAATCAAGCGTTTCATTCAAAATAGTCAACAGGGTCGCAAGAAGCGTGTGGAAAAACCAAGGCGCAAAATAACTGCCCATGAACTGAGAAAAGTCAAGCGTGCAGCTGCCACGATGCCACTTGCCACCAGTTTGGCCATATTTCAGAGCTGCAACATCACTGGAGTGCCCAAAAGCACAAGGTGTGCAATACTCAGAGACATGGCCAAGGTAAGAAAAGCTGAAAGATGACCACCACTGAACAAGACACACAAGCTGAAACGTCAAGACTGGGCCAAGAAATATCTCAAGACTGATTTTCTAAGGTTTTATGGACTGATGAAATGAGAGTGAGTCTTGATGGGCCAGATGGATGGGCCCGTGGCTGGATTGGTAAAGGGCAGAGAGCTCCAGTCCGACTCAGACGCCAGCAAGGTGGAGGTGGAGTACTGGTTTGGGCTGGTATCATCAAAGATGAGCTTGTGGGGCCTTTTCGGGTTGAGGATGGAGTCAAGCTCAACTCCCAGTCCTACTGCCAGTTCCTGGAAGACACCTTCTTCAAGCAGTGGTACAGGAAGAAGTCTGAATCCTTCAAGAAAAACATGATTTTCATGCAGGACAATGCTCCATCACACGCGTCCAAGTACTCCACAGCGTGGCTGGCAAGAAAGGGTATAAAAGAAGAAAATCTAATGACATGGCCTCCTTGTTCACCTGATCTGAACCCCATTGAGAACCTGTGGTCCATCATCAAATGTGAGATTTACAAGGAGGGAAAACAGTACACCTCTCTGAACAGTGTCTGGGAGGCTGTGGTTGCTGCTGCACGCAATGTTGATGGTGAACAGATCAAAACACTGACAGAATCCATGGATGGCAGGCTTTTGAGTGTCCTTGCAAAGAAAGGTGGCTATATTGGTCACTGATTTGTTTTTGTTTTGTTTTTGAATGTCAGAAATGTATATTTGTGAATGTTGAGATGTTATATTGGTTTCACTGGTAATAATAAATAATTGAAATGGGTATATATTTGTTTTTTGTTAAGTTGCCTAATAATTATGCACAGTAATAGTCACCTGCACACACAGATATCCCCCTAACATAGCTAAAACTAAAACAAACTAAAAACTACTTCCAAAAATATTCAGCTTTGATATTAATGAGTTTTTTGGGTTCATTGAGAACATGGTTGTTGTTCAATAATAAAATTAATCCTCAAAAATACAACTTGCCTAATAATTCTGCACTCCCTGTATTTGCCTCCTGTCATTAATAAAATTTAGATTATTCGATTACTAAAGCTAGAATTATCTCTAATTTTATGGCAAGACAGGAGGCTTCATATTTGCTGTTTTAATGCTCTTATATAATAGTGGACACAGCATGTGGCATAGGTTTAAAATAAAAGGTACGAAAGGTCGATTCTCTGGACCAATCTGCAGACGATAGGATATCTGAGAGGGAACTGCCTGCATGAAAGGCTGAGGATGCGGCTGCTCCTCTGACTAAATGTGCTCCAAAGGCTGGGTCGAACCCCGCTTGAGCGAGTATCCACCTGATCCATTGTGAAATGGTGGGAGTGGAAACCAGCTTGTGTGGTCTGATGTAGGAAACCAGAAGGGGTCCCGTAGAGGGACATAGAGTAGCTGTGGTATCTAAGTAGTGTCGGACACAACGCACCACGCAGAGCAACGGTCTGTCCGGAAA